GGAAATTGTTTTTTTGGGATATGCACGATAAAGCCGTCGAGTAGCCGCGTCACATCCACGTAAGCAAAGAGTCGCCATCCAATTAAAAATAACGATAGTAACTTGTGCCACTTCTGACTAAAGACTCCGAATCTGGTTCCTTCGATTTTAATACCATCCAATTTTTCAACGGCTCAGATTGTTGTAGAACCATTTGTACGATTTTGTCACGTCCGCAGGGAATCATGCCCTTTAAAAATGACGACTCACTCCTTATTTTCCGCATCTCTCCGTGATTAAAATTGACGGTCAATTTTGTTTTTTTTTAGTTTAGGTCACGTTTTTGTTGATATAAAATTATAAATATATACTTTGTTATTTTATATATGTAAAAAAATTTGTTGGTTATATTCGTAAGTATATTCGGATTAATCATTTATAATTTCCCTAAATTTGCCGAGATTTTTCTAAAACGTCCTTTCAATTAGTAATCCATATTATATAGGAGATCTGTCTGAATTTGCGTCTCTACAAATAATTGTTATTTGACGTTTTAATCATAAATAGATTAAAGAATATATAATGTTTCATGTGTTAAGAGTGGCATTTAAATTATTGAATAATGAAGATTGCGAGTCCATTAGATGCATGTTATTTTTGTTCTTTCTAACGTGGATCTTATGTAAGCAGTGTTTATCCATAACTTTGCTATAATTATAATATGATAACATTAATTGTAAATTTATTCCAGAATATAAAAATGTCTCATAAGTCACACGAAACTATTTTTGGGGGAAAGAGTCGTAAGAATATACTCGAATTAAAGTAATAATAAGACCGTCCCTAGTTGATAACAAAATGAAAATAAACACACCGTCCCTAGTAGTTTTAACCAAAATCAAAATAAGACATTTAATACTAATTAAATTATATAATCTGTCACAGCCACCTCCAACCTTTTTTGGGTGTCCACGTCCAGTCACATAAACCTTTTAAAAAACGGAAAATATCAAGAAACAAATCTTGTTTTTGTTACATCCAAATCTCTAAAAAACCCATCATAGAACTATTTGGATGTTCTTCATAAAAAAGGATATTTTTTTGGCTGTTTAATCAAAGTTCCTTTTGTTTAAATCGATCTTTTTATCCGTCATCATTACTATTTTTTGTCACACACAATTTTCTTTTTGCAAATTTTATACTGAAAATATCTAGAGAATTTGTCTTTTGGAGATATGTTTGACTTT